AATATTTATTTGGGCTTTCCGTCTCTCCCCACATAAATTCTTAACTGACCTCCCTGCCTCCCCAGTCCCTAGTTTAAACATTCCTCAACTATTCTGCACATAAGCCTCCCCAATACACTGGTTCCTGTCATGGATGTGGGCGGCTCGGGCACGGGAATGAGGCATCAGGCAGGCACAAAAAGGGCGGACGACCCACTTGCGGCTCCAAGAACAAAAGGGGTTTATTACATAAGACAGAAAACAAAACAAAACCAAAAGGACCATGGGGGGTCAAAACTAAAGGGAATAAACTAAGACTAAATCACAAAACCGAATACACATAAAATACTTTAAATAGCAGAACCATCAAAGAACAACAACACACATAGACACATCATAGACAACAACATGCTCAACACATTGAGCCACATGACCAGACAGGCAACAGGGGAGAACAAAGACTAACATAAAGAACGGGATGACCAGCAACACCTGCTGGTCAAACGGGGAAGGGACACGGAAGGACCACAACAGGGGCTGACCCTGACAGTACCCCCCACCTAACGCGCGGACACTGCCAGGGCGTAACGGGCAGACAGGACAAGGACGTATAACAAGACAGGGAACCCACTAACGAAAACCAAGGAACTGGACAGACAGAATCAAGAACTCAGACAAGAGGGGAACAAAAACAGATAGGGCAGACACCAGGAGCTGGGACAAGAACACTAGACGAGGGATCACAGTAGGGGGCAGAACATGGGGACCAGGAACAAACGGACGCGGACACTGAGGAACAGGACCAGGGGCACGAGGCAGGAAACAAAATGGTGTAGGGGAACCGGAAGGACAAGGAACAAAGGGAGCAGGGAGAAGAAAAGGACCAGGGACACGAGACTGGGATTGAAACGGGGCAGACGAACTGAAAGGGAAGGGTAGCAATGGGACTTGTTGGGGCAGCTGGCGAGGAAACTGAAAAGGGAAAGGATGGGTAGGATGTGGGCCTGGTGGCCGACTGGAGGGCGAGGAGGAAGGGAATGCAGGATGGGGACAGGAACTGGAGGGTGATGAGGAATGGACTGCAGGACGGGGACGGGAACTGGAGGACGACGACGGGACTGCAGGACTGGGGAACGACGAGGAAGGGACTGCAGGACAGGAACCAGGAAGCGATGAGGAAGAGACTGCAGGATGGGAACTGGAAGGGGACAACGAAGGGAGTGCAGGACTGGAGGGCGATGAGGTGACTGCAGGACTGGGACAGGAACTGGGACTTGAGGACGACAGGAAGCCACGCATTTAATCCCCTTATCTCAGCTAACTTAGCCTGGCTTGCACGTGGCATGGGAAGTATTCCAGAGAATACCACCGTGGATGTTCTGCTTCTAAGCTTATCCGCGACTTCTATGAATTTATCTTGCAGAACAGCCCTCCTGCCCTTTCCTATGTCATTGGTGCCAACATGCACCACGACCACTGGATCCACCCCAGCTGGGGCCAAAAGCTTGTCCACTCGATCTGGAAGGTCCCCTACCTGGGCACCCGACAGGCAAGACACCGTACGGAACCCTCTATCACGGGTGCACACATAACTATTGTAATATCAGGTCTATACTGGGCTACTGGATCTGAATACCGGTCTACTCAGAAGACGAGGCTCGCTGGCTTACGGGTGGTGAATAAAAGAGACTTCACTCATTCACTTAAGTTGGAGGTATCTTTACTTCAGAACAATCGCGGGGAGCCCAGTTCAGGCGGCTACCGGATTCTCCCCCCTTTACTAACTCTCCCCCCATGCAACAATTTCAAACACATTAGTTCCGCTCAGCATAACCATTTCCCTTAACTAATAAAAGGAGCAGATAACACATCCCCCATTCCTATGGTTACATCACTCCCTTACCCCACAAGAAATGGCCTCATTTCTTACAGAATGAAAAAAAACAAATGAATAAATAAAGAAGCAAAAGCAGACCAGGGTAACAATGCAATGGAACTACCCCAACCACGTGTCCACATTGCAAATGCATGAACATACATACAGAACCCAACAGATTTTTTTTTTTTTGTTTTTGAAGAAGAAGAAGAACAACACAACTTATGGTATGAAAGTGACAATCAATATGCACGAACACATGCCACCCAGCACACAGTCCAGCAGCTACTTGTAGCGTAACACAAAATCCTGCAAATGACGTGGCATGTGT